TACGCGTTCCGGTGTAACACGATTGTTATGACCCGTGATAAAACGTACCAAAATCCACGTGTTTTTCCCCCTCATTTGGCCGTGTCGACGCGACAATTCTTCATCGAATTTAAAAACCAGCTTCGAACCATTTATCAGAACTTGAATATAATTTTTCTTAATGCGAGCCGCGAAATTTCCAGTCCGGAATGGGAACAAATTAGAGGCAATCGATTCTCGTTTCGCCGAGCCTTAATGTCCGTTTCTCGAGCTTTTCCTGTTCGCGCGAAAAGGGCTCGGCCCTGCGTGTATCGCCGTCCATTTGTTTCACGGACGTTGAAAAATGTCGTTTCTTTCAGCTAACGCAGGCTCCCGGTCAATGTCTCGCTTTTAAATCACGCACACACCTGTGCATACGTGTGCACTTACGTGTTGCTTGACAAATGACGAAAGAGGTACGTCTGAAACGAGAGAACTGGGGAACAATACCTTGCGACCATCGATTGACTGTCGAAAGTCGTATGGAATTCACTTTTCAATGCTGTTACGCCCTCGTTTGCGAAAGGATACATCAGTTTCCAGTTAAAGCGCAAACTACAGTCACGTGTATCAGCATTAGCATGTTTTGCTCGTAAAACAGTTCGTCGAATGATAAATAAAAAATAATTTGTCTGCATCGATATGCAGCTGCGTTAAGCTCGATATCGCTGACGATTTCGCGTAAACGACGAAGCCACTCGAACAGCTTAGGTTTATAAATCGAGGCTAATACGCGACGATATCGACTCGAGACCCGCTCGCGTCGAAAGAATCGACGGGGGACGATAAATAACCTCGTTCTCGCGTATCGCCAGTTTTCCTATCGATTCCAGACACTGCCCCGTAAATCCACGGCTCGTGGTCTAGGCTACTGCCTTTAAGAAACGAGTTTTATGAACCTCTGCCTCGGATTTCCGCACCTTCTTATCCTAATCTTTACGAACCATACATCCCCTTCTATAAAAATTGATTTTGCACAAACACAATAGTTGGGTGCTTTTATACTTAGAAAAATAAAAGAAACGTTTCGTTGACATTAGTGTACGAGCCAGTGCCATACATATATACTTGTTATCAGGTGTATAAATCGATTCATAGCCTTTTCTTATCTATGGATTTATGTGTACGACTTTTATTCGACGGTTTATGAAGTACAAACGTCGTTTCGGAATTAAGGGAGTGATGAACGTTAGGGCCGACGTTCAGGAACCGCATCAGAGACAACGAGAACGATAATTTGTATGCCGCGAATATAACGCATCGCCGTTTTCCGTCCGATTTATCGGCTAATCCGATATTTATCGGACGTCGGGGGGCCAATTTCCAATTTACGCAGCGGTTAACTGGCACGAGCGTGCACGTTAACTGCACGCGGCTAACTGCTCGCGACCAACAGGCTTAGCGTTATATCCGGTTTAATTGGATCAGGATTAAATTAACTTCCGCCGGGTGATGGGACTTTAACAGGGGGCAGGGATTCCTTGTCCATCGATTCGAAACCCCAACCATTTCCCTTTGTTTGCGAATTTTGATGTACCAGACCATAATTTTGTTCCAGTATTGTTTTCGACCACATTGTTCGCCTCCTTGCCACGGACCTTTTGTCTCCCCGAAATCTACTCGTCGAAAGTGGTTAATTATCCCGTATCGTGATCGTATGCTTAGACACTGCACATTGCTATCAATTTTCAGGAAAAGCGAGGATGTAAATAGGAGCGCTATGGGAACTGGATTATTTATAAAAGAATTAAACGTACAGAGGGCTTAAAGAAGTTTTAACGTGTTCACCGTGATGGCTCCCGCGTGCATCGAATATTAAATTGCAATAGCATTAATCCCTCGTTTCAAACCGATGTTAATTACCCGAGCTACAATCTTTATTTCATTCGACGTGATTTCCAACTCGTGCCGGGATTAACCGACTGAAATTACAATTAGCGTTGTAATTCGATTTTCCGAGCAGTGGCCGCTATTATTTGGCCGAAACAACTGTCAGTCCGGAAATGAAAAATTAACGACCCGCGAGAACGTTTCGTTATTAACGAGTATCCCCAAAAACAAGCCTTTGTCGAGCTAGAAGTACTGCGAAATTATTTCGTGAGGTTCACTGCTTCATATTTGCTGTGTATTTACTTTGGCAACGGTCGGACGCATTATACGCACTCTCCTATAAATTAATTAATCCCGTCTGACCAGAATTTAATCGCCTTAGGGAAAACCGGTGATAAGCAAATGTCATCTTCCATTTCCTCTGTCAAAGTTACCATTTTGCGTTTTAAATGGGAAGATCACGTTTGTACGAAGTGGTTTGACTGGCACTTGGGAGTTCCGTCAGGTGTATCGTACAGTATGTAACATACACGCTTGTCCGGAGAGCGTTGACAAGCGCGAAGACGCACGATTCCCCTCGATTAATCCTCACCCGGGAAACCCTTTGTGTCCGCGGCGGAAGCGCGTCTTCGTCTCGAAGCCCTTTGTCGTCCGCGCCAGAAATTAGCTCGAATTAATGCCGCTACGCTCCTCACAGGGAGGATCTTCGACCCCCCCTTCTTCCCACCGTGTCTGCTCGCGTCGTCGAGCTTCCAGCTTTCCATTGTCCCATTTAGAGAAACGCTCCGTTCACTGTTGGTGACGTCTCACATTTCCTCAAGGATCGTTGGCCAAAACAGAACATTTTTTATGACATTCAGAAATTCTGAAGTCGATGGAATCGACGCCAGAAAATATAGCAGGTTACTTTTTGTTATAATAATATTTTTTATTTTAATTCTTATATATTTATTAAGATAGAAATTAAGCAATTTGTATTTAGCTTCCGATATTCTATGTATGCATATTTATGCATCAATTCTTTTAAACGAATAGAATGGGTCTTGTTAATTACGTTTACCCAGGAAAATCGATGGACGCTCGCAGCTTCCCGGAAATCGTTACAGAAAGCTACCGCGCATCGGGATTAATAACCAAGTATAATGCGATTAACAGACTTTAATTACCACACGCGCGCTCCTGGGATCTTTCGATCGTCGATACCTCGTTCCCACAGAGACGTGTACACTGCCAACCATAAGTTTCACCTAGTAATTTATTTAACACTACTTGCAACATTTCATGTAATAATAAGCAATAATTATTGATGATATTTCATTTAATGATTAATACACAATTCTATATAATAATCAATATATAATATTTAATTTGTAATTTTGGATGAACGCCAGAGACATCTCATATTGTATTAACATAGGAGGCCTGTTAATACTTATGAGCAGCAGTGTACGTTTAATTGTCGTCGTGATACTCATTAGGGGGCCGGGAGAAGGAGCTTCCGCGTGCATTGAATTTAAAAAAACTGTCTTTATAGTTTTAATAGAGCCGGCACGCCGCCGCCGCGGTGAATGGAGTTCGTTATCTCCGTAATTACAGCTCGGGTTCGACCCGAAAAGTTGCCGCGTCCGGTCATTTCGCGCTCCCTTTTCCCGATGCGCATTTTTATCGGGACGCGTGCCATATCTCGGCCGGCCAGAAGTAGTTCACGATCGAACCAGGACGGAGACAAAACAAGTCGATCCGTGTTCTACTTTAATATAGAGCGGATGTTAAAGCTTACACTGGATTATCAATGATCTTGCGCTTTCACTACCATTTAATCCGTTTTCATATAGTCATAAATAGTACAATAAAAATGATACGACGTATCATACAATGTCTGATGCTAACTCCCTGCATCGAGTAGAGATTACTAAAGAGTAGCAGCGGTATGGGACTCCGTGTCGTATGAAAAAGTCTGCAAAGTAGCTGTAGTTGTTAGATACAAGGAAAGTTCTATGCAACTTCCTTCTAACTCCACTCATTAAGAAATAATTGGTGATGTACCAACTAATTACTCGATTAGTCCTGAAGTATTCGAGATAAAAGAAAATTGTATACGTCCTTTCTGCAGGTAATAGCAGTAGCTACAACTTTTATTTGAAGCATTTTTCGAAATTCTGAGAAAAAAAGATTTTATTTTTTCGGAATTCTCTGTCCCCTTCATATTTTTCTACATTTTCGTTTTTTGTAAATAACTCGTTACCTGTCACCCTCAATAAAAAATGTTTTATAGGAAAGTTGAAGTCACAACTTTTGTCAAAGCGTCAAAAGCTACAACTTTTGTATGAAACATTTTTCACTAACGTCAATAGTTAACGAGTATGTTACAATAAACTGTTTTATCGTTTTTTGTCTAAAACTCGTAAACTATTGACGCTAGTGAAAAATGTTTCAAACAAAATTTGTATCTCTAACTGTCCAATTACCAACTATGTTTTGAGTCCAATTGGGCCCCATTTGCTGGCCCACCGATTACACGGGTGCTGCCATTCTTTAATACTATCTCCCCGGTGTCCGTAGCGTAAAACGAAGAATTAAAGGAACTAGAGTAGGTATAGAAATTCTTCTTCTCTTGACTTGTCTCGGGTCACGTAACTAGCGATTGTAAGGCTCTTTTTTAGCCGAGACGCGTGACTGTGCCCGATTTGAAGGAATCGTTAAAAGAAACGTGCGATTATCGATTTACTCGAATTCGTTCCTAAAGAAACTCGGTTGAAAATTGCCTTTGAGAGAACAATTGCTGGTCTCGCACGAGTAAAGGAGAATTGCTCTCCGTGTAATCGTCGGCTTGTTAATTCAGCCACTTTCACTCGATCCAATGATTCAGCTGTTATTCGATCAACCGCGTGCCGTTTCATCAATCTTTTTATTCCGAGAGAAAAGTATTCCCGGACATTTCGTAATAAAGAATATCCTTCGTAAATAATGATGCCCCCGTCATTAATTGCTGGTAAAAGTGCATATGGGGAACGTACGCAGTCAAATAAATCTTAAGCGACATTTATGTGTCTGCGACAGTCCGCAGAGGATAATGGCATGATATATCAGCGTCATATTGAGGCGACGGGGTGGAAGAGAGCTAAAGCGGCTTTTCCTTTCTTTTGTTTCAGGAATTGGAGAGGAGTTACACCCTCTCAACGCCGGGTGGTAGCAGCCCCGTTTGCTGTCCGCCTTGCAGCCCGCCACCGGCTCCGGCCGCTTACATATCGAGCGCACGTGCGTCCTCGCGGAGGCTCGGAACGGGAAGCGGAGGTCCACCGTCACCGGAGAGAGATCCCCTTGGGAGACTCTTAAGGTAGGGCTACCTTCAATTTCACGTAGAAACTGAAAAATAGTGGCACACCGAACGGTTACGTTTGGTATCTGAAAAATGAAGTGTAACACTCCTCGAACATATGGGAACTGCGTGCAACAAGTGAACAGAATTGACACGAAATTTAGATGAAATCAGTGAATAGTAAGTTATGTCAGATTGAATCGTTTGTAAACGACGCGCAAAAGCTGTTCTCGCAGCCTTTGCCACGGTTGATCAAGTAAGATCATCAATCTTGTCCAACTGGAAATGCATCATTCAACGCGAAAAGGCTGCCACTTAGAGCGGCTATGGTTTCGTCGCTTGGGAAATTAACCCAGTCACCCGATAAGCGAACCACTTTAGTTAGCGTAACTTGGATTAATTGGAATTTTAGTGGCAACACAGCGATCGAAAAGTGTTGAACGAAAACGATTCTAATCAACAAAACATATTTATTCTTCCCAAATTAATGTACATATCTGCTCCGTACAATTTTCATTATATTATCCGAAACATGTATTGTCGAGAGAGTAGTCAGTATTAATGAAAACATGATGCGAATGTGCATAGTTTTCAAGATAAATTAGATGACGCGGAGGGGTTGGGTGATTTTCAGATTCCTGAAGAGTTTCTACAGGGAGTTGGGTACCCGCGACTCGCCCCATTTGCCGGGATGGGCGTCGCCACTACCGCTGGGCACCCTTTGCCCGGCGCACTTTCTACCGCACCTGCAGCTGCTTCACAAGGGCGGCGAGCAGGAGGCAAGGCTCGAGAACATCAAGCCCGACCAGATATTCGCCCCCGTCAGGGTGAGTGTGACCATAAATCATCGCGCGGAAACTGCTGCCGGTTGTTGACGTCGTCTGGCAAAACTTTCAAATCGGTTTTCGCATACAGTCGGAACGAAGAGAACGGGAGCGATATTTTTAATAGGAATTTCTCGAACTAGTTTCTCAGCTGCGACTTTGTTGTTTTGTCAGAATCGAGCGGTTTTTAACGTCTCCTTGAAATCTCGTCACGGTATAAGAAATTTTTCATTTAATTGCATGCACGTTGAATTGAAGATAGGAAGATATACATTTCGTACAACTGGAATACGCGTTGCGTAGAAACGGGAGTATATTTGCATGATATCGACTATGTAATTGGGAAAGTGGAGGACGAACACGTTTCGCGTGGTAACGTCGCGTGAGTGCCAAGTTTGGTAGAACTCCTTGGTCGGATTTTTATCTGAAAAATTCTAATCTTTCCGAAATGAAACTCGGTTGAATAGCACAGGGAAACTACAAATGCTTGATAGTATATTTTGACGAGGAAGATACGGACAATGCGAAATTGGATGCATCAGAGAGTATTTCAGGGTTTCGTTAAAAAACCTAGGTAAATTCGTTTCTTTCCGAGCTTTGTTCTCGGTCCGGATATTAGAGTCCGCGTTGCGTTCCCGACGAAAGCCAGATTGCTAAAAACAAAACGGGTGGGAAGGATCAGGCGAAGCTGGATGGATGGTAAACCGCTCGAAAAAGGGGATAAAGCGACGTTCTTTCGCATAGCCACTATGCGAATTCACTCGAAACCGTCTCCTTTCGTACGATGCTCGTTGCCCATGAAAGATGAATTCTAGCTGGCTCGTGGAATCACGTAACCTGGACGCGCTTCGATTCCTGATCAAGAGAATTTTTTAGCGATCAAACCCGGAGTGCTTTCCCTTCCTAAACGGAATTTGAAAGTCGAATATCGAGTCTCATTCTCTTTGCTAAAGAAAACCGAGACTTTGTACCCATGAATCATAGATTCTTCTTAGAATCAAACAGGTGTAGAATTTGTATGAACGTTTCTCGGCGCTCCCTTCATGAATTCGTAAATGTCGCATTCTAGTCACAACAGGGAATTTTAATGTTTATCATAGTTGAGTGACGGAACAGTGTCGGAAGCACCGCGTCGCGTGGCGATCGAGGGCGGCCCCGGAAGCGGAAGAACCACCCTTTGCCTGCGTCTGTTGCATCAATGGGCGATCCAAGGGGATGGTCCGGCTCTGGCGTTGATCGTACCCCTTCGCGAACTTCGCGGCAGTCCCGTGCTGAATTATCTGTCCCGGGAATTGTTCCCGAGGACGGCTGGCATCGGCGACGCCGTGGCTCAAGTCTGGCGCACTCTGCACTTAATGGAGGATCGGGTTCTCTTCCTGCTGGACGGTTACGACGAGTGCGTGGGCGGGAGAGCGTCCCTGGGCGACGCCGTGGACCTCCTCGAGGGACGTTTATTCCCGGACGCGAGGATTCTGGTCACTTGCTCGCCGAGCAATTCGAGCGTGCTGTCGCCGTTGGTGCAAAGGAGGATCCATCTGGCTGGATTGAAGTGGCCGCACGTCGAGAGGCTGTGTCTCGCTTGTTTCATTCACAACGACAACGCCGAGAAGGCCGGAGAGTTCCTCCAGGCGTTGAACGCTCAGCCTCAAACGGTAAAACAACTGGCGCAGCATCCCCTCGGATGGATCATGCTCTGCTCTCTCTATCAGGTATGTCCTCAATAATTTCCATGATTCACCGCTATTTCATCACAAATATTTTATCAAAATATTTCGTATAACGATCGATGCAATAATTCATCCATTAATCGACACTATGTTTACGACTTGGTTAGTAAAATCATTTGATCGGTCCCTTAATTTAAATAATTTGCATGTTCTATAAAGGATTCAGGGAGCTTGCCCACGGAAACCAGTGCATTAATACAAGCAGCAGTAAAGTGCATCGTGAAGAGAAGCCTAGATCCACCGGTTCCCTATAACGAAGAAATCCCAGGGCATTGTAGAAAGCGCCTGGAAGATTTTGGAAAGTTGTCCTTAGCCGCGCTTAGAGAAGGGAGATGCTCTTACACGGAAGCTGAACTTAGAGCTCGAGGCGGCGGGATAGAAGTAACCAGATTAGGTTTTCTGACCAAAGGTCTGACGTTCGGGCAAAGAAGAAAGCCGGATTTGTACACACCGATTCACATGGCCGTCGCCGAATTCCTCGCGGCTTATTATCTAACTTCCGTGGCTCAGTATGCGAATATCCTTCGAAGGGAATTGGAAGGTCTACCTTCAGGAATTATCAGTCATCTGGCTGGGCTGTTGGGACCCAAAACGCATTTGATACTGAATCAACTTTGTCCATTGGAAGTGCCACCGCGAACGGTGTTCTCTTTGTTGAAAGCCGCCGGTGCCTCGGATGGAAATATCTCTGCGGTGTGTAGATTAGTCGGTGCGGGTCCTGGATTCGGTCCCTCGCCCAACGAAAGACCCCCAGCACCCTTGGTGCACACCTCGCCTTTGGAACTCGAGGGATGGGCGAGGATCCTCGAGAGCCCGGCGTGCACTCTCGAAGCTCTGGAGGTGGTGTTCCAAGTCGAGAGAGGCTCCGATCCTACGTACCTGGACGACTTCTTCGAAGCTCTGGCTGGAAACGAGAGCGTGAAACTCGTGAGGATCACCTGGCTTCTCGGACAAGAGTTCCCGGTCGACGAAGCGCAGAAGTTGGCTGGGCACTTGAAGAGTGTCTTGGGGAAGAAGAAGCTAAATGATTTTGAACTGGTCATCACTTGCTTGGAAGAAGCCGCCCACGATCGGTAAGTCATTTAAAACGAATGACAATTTAATAACAATTATCGATTTTGTATATTTACGAGATATTTCCCAATTAATTTTCGCGATGATTCGAACGTGCTTTTACAATCTCCGTGTAAGTGCATCGATCGTGTCGCAGGATACGTTTGAGAGTTCGGTTGAAAGGGTGCGACTCTCGGGAAATTTCAATTCTACATTCTCCCTAAAAGAACTCTTGCGCGCCGAAAAAGCGTGGAGATTTTTCACGGTTCCGATATTCAAAGCACGCGAGGAGAACGAGAGGGGCAACAATGACCCAGGGGGGTTGAATCGCAACCGCATAAAGTCTAGCGGCTTGAGAAAAAGCCGAGAAAGCGAAGGGAACAATACGGGAGAGGTTCTTTTTCAGCCCCTTTCGGTCGCTCGAGGGGTCGTCGTGGATAAGCCCGTGGCGAAAAATTAAGGAGGACGATACACTTTTCATAGTCGAACTCTCATACCTACTTCCCCTCGTCCTCTCTCGTTTCTCTGTTTCTGTAACCGAGTCATAAAACTTTTTCAAGAGTATTCATAGATATCTTTCTGTGTTGGATTACGTACTATTCCCGTGAACAAATTTCTAATCTTGTTTCCCTCCAATCTCGTCCGCTGATTACTTCCAACCAAACTCGGACTTCTTTCATGTTTCCAATTTCGGCCTGGCTCAACTCGGTCCGCTCCGTCGGTGAAGAACGAAAAGCCGTCATTTGGCGCGGCGGAAGGCGGAACAATCCTCGAGCTTGCAAGCTCATTGTTGAGCATCGAGACGTTTCGTCGCTTCCTCTTGACAACCACTCTCGCCTGCTAAGAGTAGACGTGCTCGAAATCGCCCGAACTCTACAAGTTCGAGAGCAGACTCTTTAAAAGCGAAACAACCTTCTGATCTTTCGAGATTCTCTTGAAAAAATTCTGCTAGATAAGTCCGATCAGATTTTGATTGACGTTCTATAAATCCCTAACGGAGATTAACAGCGCGATCGACGGAGATGACTGACAGCTGACCGAGTATTCTTCTAACGGCCGGTAGCTGCCAGTGATACAGCCCGTGATTAGTCGGACGCGGTGTCACCGAAATTTCGAATGTTTCCCGATTCATAAAGACTGATTCTTCATACTTATAACGATGAAACAATAACTGCACGGTCATATACACATAATATTGAAAGATAAATCATGATGCTGATTTACATTTAGTTAATGTGCTTGACGCTCATCTAATTTTCATATAGAATAATAATTTCACGGATGCGCTTGATTGTCCAATAAAATCGCGTCGAACGGAATCAATACAGTTGCTCGTTGGGCTATATTTTAATTAACATCGATAGCGAGAAGACTGCGTTATTTTAATTCCGAAAATATATGGTATATCATGTTATTAAAAGCTCCGATGCTTTATTCGTCAAATAATTGTTCATGAATATGTATATTCACCCGATCGAGTTTACAGCGCGCGGGAGCGTTTATTTTCCAGCTCTGGATAAAATTGGATAAAAATTTCCTTCCTGATCCAGTAACGTGTCCCAGGTATCGCTGATCGTTTCCCCGGTGAAAATCCGCTCTGGTAGAGCGTGTAAAACTCCGGGTAGGGAAATCCAAGCTCGTTTGCAATTCTCCGAGGGAGAGAGTAACCCGTGGCCCGCCTTTGCATAACTGTTGCATCAACCAGCCGAAATAATAGCGCATAAGGACGTTGTGCCACGCGTAAATCGTGGAAATCCGAGTTCATATTTTCCAAGGATTTTACGCCGGATTCCATGTTACGACCGACTCGCGGTTTTATGTGACCTCTAACGACCCAGTATTTCAATTAGAACTCCCTAATTTCTTATCGATCCTCGGATATCGGCCGCGTTTTTTTGCGAACATAGCAGTTCCCGATAGCAGTGTGTCAAGCGGCTAAGGGAAACTGCAAACGCTCGCAAAAGCTTCTTTGAGGTTTTCGCCACTCTAAACACCGAAAACGGAACGGTGAACCAGTTTTCGAATAACCTTGACGCTTTAATTGGCTTTGGAATTAGAAAGCGCGATCACAAATTCTATTTTGCGATCGAACGAACCGCTGTTTAAACCAAGCGACCACTGATAGGTCGATTCCCTTTGGGAACGTAATTTCGAATAGAAAGAGGAAGAGGTGGTCGATCGTTGTCTCTCTGTTTCAGATTGGAGTGCGTGGTGAACGCTCTTTGCCGTGGACTGAGTCACGCGTCCCCGAGTCTGGCGCGGCTGGTCCTCGACATGAACCTGTCCGGGGAACAAGTGTCCCGGGTTTGTGACGCTCTCCGCAACTGCGTCCAGGTGCAAGCGTTGCATCTGCCACATTTGAGCTGCGGCTGCGTGGGTCTGGCGTCCGTCGCTGAACTCCTCAAAGAGAGGCCTCTGCTGGCTTTGAACCTCGCCGGCAGCTGGGGTGTCAAGAACGAGGATCCGTCGAGTTCTGGAATCAGTATGGGTAAAACTTTAACATTATCACTTTTCGTTCTCCATTTCGATTTTTATTTGGTTCCTTCGTTTGGCTTCTGTTTAGTTTCATGCGAATTTCCAAAACTCGTTCGAATTTGTACGTATTTTCGAATAGGCGAACGTTCTTTGAATTTGACATCAATTTGGAAAATCACTGAGTAAGAAAATGGCGATCGTGATCGGACTAGCGAGTCTGAAGTCGGATCGAGGGGGCAATTATGGAAAGCCTCGCGGATGGTCAAATCCCTCGTAAACCCGCAATTGAGGTAGAATAAACTTTACGATCCTTTACCCCAGTCCTCGAAGCAAATTCGCCCGGCTGGAATTTCACTGAGTTCCCCGATAAGATCTCTCACGGTGTTTGCACGGGGGGGAAAAAATCGGGAGGACAGTTTGCGCTGGCCCGTTTCCCTTCGAACGATAACAACCCCTCCCTCTCGAGAAAGATGAACAGCGGTCCTCGAGGCTGGTTTGTACGCGAGACGGTTCCTGCAAACGACACTTTCCAACTGAATTTCCGACTCGCAAATAACGTATTAATCATCCTCCTTCGCCGGCCCTTTATTACGACCTGTCCTCTCAACATCCCCCTTAATATCTTCCTCCTCCACCCTCGAGAGTCTCTTTACATGCGCATGCATGAATAGTTTCTTTGTACGTCTGAGTGATTCGAACATCTCATCGAGATCGAGCCTCGCAAAATCTTAAGGATGTATTGGCT